CCCCAAAACCCCAAAACCCCAAAACCCCAAAACCCCAAAAGTTAGTGCTTTATTGAATATTTTCACAAAAGAGAATTGAAATAATCCTGCTTCTTTTGAGATTTATACCCAGAGGAGTAGTCTTCCATCTGCTCCTGCTGAGAAGAGCCATGGCTGGTCAGGATGGAACACGCAATCAAGAACACCGAGTTTATCTCTGACTCCATGTCCTCTCAAGATTTTTACTGGGACAATCAGAGGGTTCATCGCTGAATCTTCGTATACTTGAGAATGGAATACATTAAGAGAACCATCATCAGATGCACTAGCAAAGAGTGGATATATACCACTGAATGAAACATTTCTGATAGCTTTAGAGTGGTACTTCATCTTTTTATATGGAGTGTTGCCCATTTCCAAATCGAACCACATAAGTTTTTTGTCATAAGATCCAATTACAAAATTGTCTCCCTTTGGATGAAGAGCAATACTTGATACCATTCTTGCTCCAGAGTGGAATTTCCTGATAAGAACTTGCTTCTGGAGGTTGTAGCAGAACACTTGCTGATCATTACAAACAAAGAACAGAGGTCTAACAGGGTGGAAAGAAATCGTCTCAATGATACCCTTACTCTTAGAGAATGGCTTTTGAGTCTGAGCCTTAGACAGAGAGTGAATTAAGACCTGTGTCGATGTTTGAATATTATCAGCAAGAGTAGCAAAGTAATCTCCTTTTGAGTGCCAATCAATCTTTTTAATGATATATTCAAACTCTAGCTTTACTCTAACGTCTCTCTCAACAAAGTCTTTATCAGACTGTTCCAAGAATTCCCATTTGCATGGTGGCTTCTTTGTTGAAGAAGTATCAACTGATGGAATAAAGTTGTTTTTGAACTCTTTGATCAAATTTTCAGTGTCTTTCCTCTCATCTCTAGTATACAACTTCTGAGGCATAATCATATAAACGTGATTATGATTGACTACTGAGAGGATCAAAACACTTTTGTTTGGATTGAACCTAACACAGTCAACAATGCCTTCAAATTTATATTTGTGTCTAATTCTTCCAGTTTTGACATCCCAAAGGAAGACGTTTCCTTGGTCATCTCCTGATGCAAGGTATTTACCACAAGGTGATACTGTTAAGCTTCTAACCTTAGCTTCATCATGGCCTTTATATTCAATTGATACCTTAGATGGGAATGGTTTTAACTCAGATGGGTTAGGCATATCAGGAATGAGTTGGCTTGCTGCAATATTAATCTTCTTCCTCTGAACTCTTGGGCAAATATACAAATCAAGACATCTTTCAAAAGTTTCTTTGATAAGATTATTGTACAATGGGACTTTTCTTAAGCTATCAAATATTTGGGGCTCGAAATTGTATAATCTTTCTTCTGGCTCAAGTTCATCTTGCTCTTCTTTCTCTTTTTCATCTAGAAGATATTCCTTTGGTGGGTTATAACTTTCTGCATGTGCTGGAGGGTCCTTCTTTGGAGCATCAATTTGTTTTGGTAATCTTCTTGGCCTGAAAGCTGTGATTGATTCATCCTTCCAGATATCCCACACTTGTTCATTCTTTTTCTTATACTCTTGCAAAATTTCTTCTCTGGTTCTTACTTTTAGCCACCCCCTTCTGATTGCTTGGAGATATCTATTGACTCTCTTTCTTTCATGAAGAGATCTAACATATCTCCTTTTTGGGTTGAAATCGCTCATAGCATGCATAAATTCAGGATTATCATCATTTTCAGGAGGTCTGTACAGTAGATCATCATTATCATCTTCAGCGAAAGCAAATCTTCCGCTTCTAATTCTCTCAATCATTTCAACATCCTCTTTAGAGAGCTTTACATTTTTGTTATTAAGCTTATCATTGAGTTCTCTCCACCAGTTGGGATCATTCTGACGCCTAAGGAATTCATCAAGCTCATCCCTTTGCAACTCAGGTGCTTTTTGGACTTTTTCTCCTTTGACATCATACCCAACAAGTCCATCTCCTTCAGCATAATCGTCATACCAGTTATCTGGGATATTTCCAGTCCTGATAAGGACTTCTTCATCATCAGAGTCTGCTGAATTGTATCCAATATCAAGAGGTTCTCTTGGTTTGTCTAAATTATATGTTAATTCCAAGTGAATTAAAAGTTTTACCTTGTTCCTCTCTGTTCCTTTTCCTTGATTTCCTAGTCTTTTCAACACTCTTAGGGTCCTCAACCGGGGCCCCGTCCTGCTCAGGAGCTACTTCCTCTGGCTCTTGCTGTATTTCTTCCTTTTTAGTTTTCTTTTTAGTCGTGTTTTTAGGCATCTTGATTAATAATTAATTATCAACGCTATTTTCTCTTTCTGGGGTTTTGGGGTTTTGGGGTTTTGGGGTTTTGGGG